ATGCTGCTGTGCCTGCTGGGCTCCGTTCATGCAGAAGCTCTCATGGGTTGATGTATCGTGCCTTCAGCTCTCCCAGGCTGGAATTGCACATTTTTAACTCCGCAGTTCAGCCAGGCACAGTGGCTCATGCCTGTAATACCAGCACTTTGGGAGGCCGAGGTGGGTGGATCACCTGAGATCAGGAGTTCGAGACCAGCCTGGCCATCATGGTGAAACCCCGTCTGTACTAAAAATACAAAAATCAGCTAGGCCTGGTGGCACACGCCTGTAATCCCAGCTACTTGGGAGGCTGAGGCAGGAGAATCACTTGAACCTGGGAGGCAGAGATTGCGGTGAGCAGAGATTATGCCACTGCACTCCAGCCTGAGCAACAGAGCGAGACTCTGTCTCAAAATAATAAATAAATAAATAAATAAATGTTTAAGTAGTAAGACTTTAATGAGAGCTACATTTGGAAATAAACCAAATTTCCATCAGCAGGGGAATGGGTAAACATTGTGGGATATCCACATAAATCCTAGTGAGTAATACTAAGGAATGAACTACAGACCCAGCAACAGAGATGACTCGCAAATGCAGAACAGGTTGAGAAAAGCTCGACACAGTAAATAAAAAAGTCAACAAATTGTAAGTCAAAAAACATTTTAAGTGGTTCAAAGTAACAATTTTTTAATTATATAGTTCCATTTGTATGCAACTCTGGAAAAGACAAATCCATTGTGGGAGAAACCCGATCAGTAGTCACCTGGGGCCAGGAGTGGGGAAATTGCCTGGGACAGAATGCAAGTAATGTTTTGGGGTAATGAAAATGTTCCATATCGTGACTGTGGTGGTAGTTACACATGTACATAAATTTATCAGAATTCATTTAACTGTCCACTTACTGTCTTGTACACTTACTGTGCACTTAGAGTGAACGTGTGCTATTGCATATAAATGGTATGTCAATGAAATTGACAAGAGGAACCATTAGAATGGTGGAAATAAGATGCATAACAATCAAACCGGCAGATAGTGGAAAAGAAAAAAATCAAACCAGAAAGCAGGAAAGGGGAGGAGAAAGAAAAAGCATGGCAAACCAAAAATAAGTGTGTCTCAAGACTCACGACTTGCTCTGAAACCCTGAAGAGGACGATGTGTTTGAAATCCAGTCACGGTAAAATAAATGGAGAGGTGGAGGATGGGGAGTGAAAGGAGACCTGGGCTCAGCATTTCCTTGTACCCAAGATGGAACTAAAAATCTACAGGCCCTTAGACGCCTTGAGGTGCCTCAAGGAAATTCTGGCAGTTTTCAGGGAGCGGAGAAGGTGGGAGGGCAAGGACGGGAGAAGCACTGAGGCCAGAGGGAGGCAGGAAAAGCAAGAAGGGGCTTCAGTGGTACCAACCTGAACTAGACGAAGCACAGGTAAGGGCCACCTGGACCCTCCTGTGGAAGCGTCGGCCACCATGGTCCAGAGGAGCCCAGTGGGGAAAGTGGGACCAGAAAGATACCCTTCAGTAGACCAAGCAGAGCCACGATAGGCATCAGTCATTTTAAAGATCCCCAGGTGAATTCAATGTGCAGCTCAGGTGAGATCCATTACTCTGGGGCCAAAGGATAAGAGCCACAGAAGAATTGTGAATGCCAGTAAATCAGCCAGAGCCTCTCTCAAGAGCACATCCCGCCCCCACCCCCCAGGTGGCCCCTCTCTGTGTAGCTCCCCATCGCTTCTCTTCCTTACTCATATCTTCTTCCCCTCTGTCTTTTCCTCTCTCCCCAACCTTGCCTCCTTTTTCCACTTACTTTGCCAAAGCTTCCCACCTAGAGCTGGTAGTTAGACTTTTAAAAAATGGCCCTTATTACATATTTATACAGATGATCCCCAACTCAATGATGGTTTGACTTAAAATTTTTTGACTTTCCGATGGGTTTATTAGGATGTAACCCCGTTATAAGTCGAGAAGCATCTGTACATTTTTTTCAGAACCAAGACTAAAATCTTACTAAAGTAACTGGCTTTCTAACATAGTGAGTCCTTGACTGCTTAGTATTTCCTGTGCCTCAGCTTTCCTAATAGGAAAAACATCAGTTCCCAGCCCTGATCTCTAGTGGCAAACAGCCTCTGTGGATCCCAGGACAGCCCCATACAGACTCCTATATCCTGCATGGAGTAAATTCCAGGACTCCCTGCCCTGTTCGTTGGGTGTCCCTGTGGATTTTTACAGAACAGAGGTTCTAGGGAAAAAGAGATTTCTACAGGGTTATGCAGGGTGCCCTGCTTTTCTCCCCTGCAAGAATGGTTCCATCTGAAATGAAGGAAATTTCATTTAAACCCTCAGCTGATTACCACCACCAACTGAGCAATCTTAGCTGCATGGCCTGGGCTCAGAGAAGGTGGGGGTTACCCATGCCCACCAGCCACCTCCCAGTATCTGAGGCCCCTCTCCCAGTGCTGCACCATCCAAGGAATGGAAGGGATACTTGCTTTACAATTTTTATTTTCTGCAGGAGATTCCTGTGAATGCCCAGAGATGCACTGAAGCAGCCAGGGGACCTGATACTACAACCAGCCTCTGTCCTCATCCTCAGTTGGAGCTGTGGTCCCAGGGCTGCTAGGTCACACAACTCCAAGAGACAAATTCACATCATCAGTTCTTGTGAATAGCATCACCTGACATTGTGCAGTGCACAACCTGTGCAGCCATATGTGTCAGGCATGTGGCCCCCTTTTTCTTCCCTTGCTTCATGAGGAGCTCTGACAAGTTGATGGATGATGTCCCCACTCCTGTGTTTCTACCCAGCTTCAAGAGAAATCTTGTTTTTCTGGACAGATCCCTCCAACTCTGTCACCTTGAGGACCTTGAAGCTTATTTCCAGCCATCTTAGACAAGGGTTGGGAATAAGGTAAAGACTGAGATCCCTCCTCACTGAGAAGTAGGCATCAAACTGGCCGGGTTATCTTTGTTCCCTCCCCTGGCTCCTCATTCTGCGAGGCTCCCAGATTCAGTCCTGAGGGTGCCTCCTCATCCCCAGCTGAGGTCCTCCCTGAACCTCTGGCCAACATCTGGGCCACAGCCTAGCCCAACCTCCTGCTCCCTGCCATCCCATCTTGTCCCAGTGTCCTCCCAAGTCTGATCTGAGCACAAACGCCATTGTTCAACACTTGTATGTGAGAGAAGGTCCCCAACCGCTCTGCACAAGCCCACGTTTGCCTCCTTTACAAGCCTTGCTGGCCTGCGGGGACAGACACTGGCCTTTACATTCCTGGAGTTGGGGATCACATAGCTAAAGCAGAGACCCTGTTGTAAGCAAATTGCCATGTGTGTGTGCCTTTTTCTTGGAAGAGGCTCTGTGGTTTACATTAGCTTTTCAAAATGTCCAAAAGGGTTAAGAATCATGAAAGCACTGCACACTTTTTTGTGGTTGGTGAGTGATGATTCATCTCTTAGAATGTAGGTTCCCGCTGGGTGCAGTGGCTCATGCCTGTAATTCCAGCATTTTGGGAGGCCAAGGCGGGCGGATCATGAGGTTAGTTCAAGTCCAGCCTGGCAAACATGGTGAAACCCCATCTCTACTAAAAATACAGAAAATTAGCTGGACATGGTGATGTGTGCCTGTAATCCCTGCTAATTGGGAGGCTCAGGCAGGAGAATCGCTTGAACCCAGGGGGTGGAGGTTGTGATGAGCCAAGGTTGAGCCACTGCACTCTAGCCTGGGTGACAGAGCAAGACTCCATCTCAAAAAAAAAAAAAAAAGAATGTAAGTTCCCATTCATTTATCAAATATTTACTGAGCAGCTACCATGTATTAGCCGCTGCTTTGGGCACTGAGGATACAGCAATGAACAAAACAGATGAAAATCCTCGCCGTCAGTAGATTGACTTTCTAGGAGCCAGAGACAGCCTGAAGCTCTATGAGGCACTGAGGAAACACAGCAGATTCTAAGTTGTGAAGGCTGTGCAGTTCTAAGCTGTGAACCCTATGAACATTCTACTAACAAGTTATTGATGACGGCAGGCACAGCGGTGTTGATGACAGTGGCCGCAGCAGGAGCCAGATCAACTCCCAGATAAATCCCTCACTGCTGAGCCCAGAGGAGGGGCCGTGGCCTGTGACAGGCAGCCATAGTGAGGAGGTGGCGGGGAGAACTGAGATGCCGCCAGCCCAAAGCACTGCTCCCCCCGTCCTCACAGCTCATGCCAGCTGGATGCCTGTGAGTCCCAGACCAGGCCAGGCCAAGACAGAGGCTGGGCTCTGGTCACCCTTCCCCCACCCAGGAGCCAGAACTAGCACCTTCTTCCCAGACTCCGCACAGGTGAGGCTTCCCAGCACTGGTATCCCTGACTGAAGTGGGACTGTGGCTGTGGTCCCTGACAGCATGTTTGTGTGAGAGTGCAGAGAAGGTGGCACAGGGGCTCAAGTGCCGCTGCAGGGTCCCAGGTGGCTTAGCACTGGGGCATATGCTGCAGAGGCCACAGCCAGATGGAGAGGGCCTGGCTGGAAAGGGATCTCCTCTTCACAGATCTTAGTGCTGCCCACAAGGGAGGTTCTAGATATTTGAAGAGTTCCTGGCAGGTCAGGGGAATGGGAAAGAGGGAGAGCAACAAACAAGACTTGCCCAGGCCAGTGATGCATCTGGGAAAGAGGCAGGAGCCCAGGCGAGGCTTCCTGTGCCCTACCCAGGCCTTGCCACCTACCCACCCCCCGGAACTAGCACAGCCCCTGCCCCACATACAGGAATACATCCACTCTCGCCCGATGAACAGATGCCCCTTCTGGACACACCCATTTAGCTCCTGGGAATGGTGAGACTATATCTGCATAACGTGGCCACCATGCACATGACCAGAGAATGTGGCACATACTCAAAGGTTGAAGCATGGGTGATTGGCAGGGGGACATTTCACATCTCCCACCTGGAGCACCCCACAGGCTTTAGGATGCTGGGAAGAAAAGGGTGATCTGGGAGGAGGCATGAGGAGGCCAGAAAGCAGAAGGAGGGTTAGGACGATGGAGTCACCCACCCAGCACCTTGTTCTTGTTCTTGACAGCAGTGCATCCAGGAGCTTGAGGTGGGATTGGGGCTTGGGCCATTCTGCAGGAAGTATGGGTGGATTGGTCTCTGTTTTCCATCTTGGTATGAGGAGGACAGCTGGCATCTCGGCACCCTCAGCCCCTGTTCTGTGTGGGTCTGAGGACCTGGGCCCTCTGAGGTCCTTCTGTGCCTGGGGTGGGCCCTGTGGTGTACCTGATTCTCTCCACACCTGGCTGTGAAATGAGTGCTGCTGTCTTCTGTCCTCGATTCCCCAAGATCCCCTGGAGAGATCTACTGCCCCATCTTCTCCAAGAGGAGGCCGCTGCCGCAAGTCCAAGCTGCAATTGTGCAAGAGCTTTCCAGGGTCTGGGGCACCTTGAGGCAGGTCCTAGAGAGAAGGGCAGCAGACCCCGCACAGAGTTCCCATTGCTCCTCCGTCTACACGCCCTGGCCTTGAGCAGGGTGTCTCCTCTGGGTCACAGTCCTCTGTGTCCTGCCTTGGTCAGCCCCCAATCCTCTCCCGAGCCTTCTGCCGGTCCAGAGCCATTTGGAGGGCGCACCTCAAGGTCTCCATGTTATTCAGAACATTGTACCGGCTCAGGGCCACCAGCCGATCAAAGTCCTGGGGCTCATAGGTGAAGTTCATCATGCCATAGGGGGTATCTGGCCTGTTGATCATAAAGTCCCCAAAGGCCTTCTCCTCAGCTGTTTGTCGCTCCACACCTGTGGATGGGGGAGACAGAGGAGAGGCCAGGCTGGAGCCCTCCATGGAACTGGCTGGTACAGCTGTCCTTGTGCAGGACACCTGGCTGGCTCCATGCGGGCCCTGCTTGGGCCGCATCTCAGCTCTCAGACCCACCAGGAGAGGCTGGCCCTATGTAAACGCTCAGACCCAGGGAGCAGAGGGCTGTAGGGGCCAGCTCAGGCCCACCAGGAGGCATGCTTAGGGACATTCTCCAGGGAACCCACCCTCAGAGCAGTATTCCGTCACCCTCCCAGGGCTCTGTGGCTCATTCCCTGGCCTGGAGCTTCCCTTACCTGGGGCCAGGTGTGTGCGGAAGGTGCTGTTAACAAGGGGGAAGTGCAGCACGATGGGCGAGCGGGGGTCCTCGGCCTTGGTAAACAGGTAGCACTCGCGGGCCTCCTCCATGTCCTCAGGGCCCACCTCGATGGTAGGGAAAGGGATTCCTCTGTCCAGGCAGTACTTCTCTGTCATCTTCAAGACCTGGGCAGGAGCAAGCCTCTGACCCCCACTCTCCACCACCCTGTCCACCCCCTACTGCCCCAGACTCACATACACCCTTTTCTGTTTCTGACTAGCTGAGTGACTTCAGGCAGGTGACAGCTCCTTTCTGAGCTGGTTTCTCATGTGCAAAATAAAAAATTTTAAACTCCCCTATCCAGTGGGTTTATTGTGAAGATTAACAACAATCAGTAATGATCGACAATCATCTACTGCCTCAATATCATTCCTCCCAAAACTACCATGGTCTTCCCTTCTGTCACCCCCTCTGCTCCCTATTAGGGACTAATGTCAGTTTCATAAGATTGACACGCCACAGTTACAGAAGGTCCATGTCAGAAGAGGCTTTGCCAATCCCCAATCAATCCCAGGCGTTCACTGGACCCAGGACAAGGAGAAGACCAAAAAAGGGCTGCTCCAGCAGCACCACCAGAACCCACATGGGAATGGGGCCTATGCCCACCACCCCACAGGGTTTGAGGGAGTCGCTGCAGGGCTCCAGCATCAGAGGGGACCCCGATGGCTCTGTTGTTACCATGGTAACAAAGGGGCCACAGACCCAGGTCAAACTGGAGTGGGGAGTTCTGTCATGAACGGGCAGAGTCTGGAACTGGGGGTCTTCTATAGATGAGCCTAGAATATTCCTCGGGACCCTCTTTGGCCGCCTCTTCCCACTCCCACCATAACCTCAACAACTCTCCTCCTCCAGTTGGGAGAACTGTGATGCCAACAGCATTCACAAGGCACCCCCTCACACACGGTGTAGAACCTAGGCTGGCCACAAAGGGCGATCCCCACACGCCCAGCCAGCCCCCCTCACTAGAGCCTTCTTCCCCTCCTCTCCTCCCTCACCCTCTGTTCACTCACTGCAGGTGCTCCCCACACCCCTGCCTCCCCAGCTCACCTCAAAAGGGGCTTCCAAGGAATAGTCGAAGGACAGGATGAGGTCCACCGCTCTTTGAGGCAGCAGAGCCAGTGGGAATGGGGAGTTGATGGCAAAGCCTCCGTCTACCAGGTACAGACAGTCCTGCATCGGAGTGAGCTGGTTGGGGAAGGCATCCGGGTGTGTGTCTGCAAGGAACGCATGTGTACGCACAGGGATGAATGCAGTTGCTCTTGTGAGCAACCCCTTCTGTATTCGCATTCACATTCCGCTTCTCTCCATAGAGTTCTCTCTGACAGTCATGGAGTCTCCCGCCCCAAGTCCTAGGCCCTGCCTTCCCACTTCCAGCAGTAATGAGACACTCTGCATCAGCCCATCGGCAGCAGGAGACCACACCTCAACTCGTAGACCAAAGCCATCACTGGCCCCAGTGAGCCAGAGGCACAGGCAGGAGGGGGAGCCCCCCTATCTCTCACCCAGGGCAGCACCCACCTTTCCAGGTCACGAACTCCCTGCCAGCCACATAGTCCTTGTGCAAGCAAAGGCCCCGGGTGAAGTTAAAGTTCTGGGCGGAAGTAAGGCGGGAGGTGAATATGTCCAGCACAGCCTGGGAGAAGGGCCCTTGGGGGGTGAGGAGCCTAGTCCGAAGCCTCGAGGGGTCGTGCAGCTGAAGCTTCTGGCAGTCGTCTAGACAGGGTGGGACAGTGAAATAGAGGGAGAAGTGGCGTCCTCCTTTGCCCAGTGGTCCTTATTTGAGCCCTCCCCACATCCTCCTCCTCTGTCTTCCTCCCAGGCCTCTGACCAATCCCTCATCGAACCACTTTGAAACGACTTTTCTTTTGTATCCTCTATGTTTTGCAAACTGCCTATAACATTGTATTTACTAAATAATAACTTATCTTCCACCCTTTGGAAAATAAAGTTTGCATCTACAGCTTCTAATCAGGACTTTGTCCATTAAACACTGACTGAGCAGTTACCATGCCCGGCACTGCACTAGTCATGAGGGCTGCAAAGGTGAATGGGGCCTGCCCTGCCCCTCCCAGGTGCATGGCCTACTTGTGGGGGAAAGTCACATAAAGAGGCAATAAATTATGACAATGCCCCAGGGTAAGGATGACAATAGGTATGTGTACATGTTCCTAGGGGACCACAGTGGTAAGACTCTCAGGCAGCCTAGAGGGTGGAGTGGAAGAGAGATGTCTGACAAAATGACATCTGAGCTGATCTGAAAGAAAAGAGCAAAAGCAATCCGCGGGAGAAAGGCGGGAAGGATGCCCTGAACCGTGCGGCTCCCACACGCTATTTAAGGACCAGGATGAAGAGGAGCTACTGATGATCTGTAGACAGAGTATCCACCAAATACCCAGTAGTCCTGCGCTGAATGGACCTAACTGGATCCCAGAACAGAGAACTTACAGGTGTGGCTTGATCATACCTCTAGGCATCTAGAGACCCTAAGCTAGATGTCATTTCCTCAGGACCTCCCTGAGTCCAGTGGGACAGCCAAGTCCTTCTCTGTCCCCTCCCTCATTCTTCAATAGGGTCTCTGCCAAGGCCCTATTGCTGGAATGTGGTGTGGGAGGGGTTCAGGGTCGCTAGCCTCACCTGTGATATTCACACTGCCTCTGTACCACTCCAGGAAGCCGAGGCCTGAGCCGGCAGTCTTTAGGAAGATCTCATCCAGGCTGGCAGCAAAGGCACTGCCCCACACACCTAAGGAGACAGTCAGGGCCCCACCCCATGTCAGGGCCTGGCCCTGGCACCTGCCTGTCCCCAGCCCTCCAGCCTTGACTCACCTTGCAGGTAGCAGATCCGGGGCTCGGGCTGGAGCTGCAGCAATCGTCCCATGAAGAACTCTGAGCCGAAGAGCTCGGTGGGAACATACGCCCCATACTTGGGGAAGCCGACCTCATAGGGGGTGAACTCACACCACTCTAGGGGCCCAAGTGAAGGGAAAGTCACCAGGGGCTGCCCCCATGGTGCTTGTGCCCAAGCAGGAATCTTAGCCCTGCCAGCGACAGGAAGCAGCAGCCCCACTGTACTCCAAGGTGTCTGTGTGCAACTACCTCCTATGGGTACCCTGATTGCCCTGGCTTCTCACACCTTCCCACCCACCACCTCCTCTGCCTCCTTCCTTTGTCTTCACACCCAGGCACCTGCAAAGTCTTCCCCACTGATGTTGGTGCGGACGTTGACACCGGCGTAAATGGGGTAAGGGTTCTGACCCTGGTGGACCGCCTCCTGTTGGTCAGACAGCTTGGCAGGGTTCTCCTGGGCAGGAAAGAAGGGAGGCAGCTTAGCCTTTTGGGAGTTCCATTTCCCATCCCCGTGGCCTGGGGCTGGTACCCTGCAGGGTACGGCATGCCAGCAAGAGAGGCTTTGGGTTGCCAAGGCCAGTGCTGTAAGGACAGCTCTCTGACAGACAGGCTTCAGGCCGTGGCTGACGGGAGCCCAGTGTGGGTCTGTACAATTCCGGGGACTATGGAAACACCCTCCCACCTACTTTACTATTCACAACAGTACATCAGAGCACCAGGGAGACAGGGTGACATTGTTAAGGGAATCCTTGAAAAGTCAGTCCAATTTCTTTAAAAAATAAATTACTGGAAAATGTAGATTATTTGCTTAGAAATGAGAAATGACTTGTGATATCCACCCACAACTGATCACCACACATGGGTGCAAGGTTCTTTGAACTGGCTGCACCATAGGCCATACCATAAGTCCAGCCATGATGACCCCCCTGACCCACAAGTACACCTCTGGATGGCCTCCCGGAGCCAGAAAGTCTGAAGTAGGCAGAATGGCTGCTCCTGCGAAGCCTAATTCACTGGCCTGGCGACATTGTACCGTTGGTCCTGCCTCAAATGTTCCTGCCTTAGCTGATAACCCACCCTTGTGACTCTGGACCTTATGACCCGCCCCCCAACCGCCATCCCAGCAATACCCCCTGGCTTGCAAAAACCGCCCTGAACTACCCCAAACCCATAAAACCAACTCCTATCCCACCGCCCCCCGCTGACTCTCTTTTCAGACTCAGCCCGGGTGAACAAACAGCCTTGTTGCTCACACAAAGCCTGTTTAAGTGGTCTCTTCATTCAGAGCAGCAGTGGTGGGGAGCAGCTCTGAATCTAAATGACTGTAGCTGTAGCCAGGCTGAGTGAGTCACGGCTAGATTGGCCAAGAAGGAGTAGGCGTGGTGCTAGGCCTCACTTCCAGGTGTGGGCTGGAATTACTTTCAAAACATCCTGAGACCAACTAAAATCAGTATCTCTGGAAGCGGGGCCTAGGCATGGGAGTGTTTGAAAAGCTGTGCCAGTGATTCTAACGTGCAGCGAGTTCAGCACTGCGGGCTGGGCTCTTCCCCAGCAGGGGGAGCTAGGGAGGCGAAGCGGTACCAGCCCACCCTGGGGTTTCACTCCTGCCCCAGGGGAGCTAAGACCTCGGGAACAGCTTTGCAGATCAGAGCTTAGCCGGCGGGATGAGGCAGAAGCAAGGGGCAGGTGGAAGGAGAGGGGAGGAGTCTGTGTATTTCCTTCCGGCTCTTCTCACCTCCTGGTACAGGAAATATTCCACGAGAAGGCCCCAGAGGTCGATGAGTGACACACTGTGGCCACTGCGCTCCCGGACCCCAAGTTCCTGAGTATAGTACTGTAGCCGCTCCGTGGACAAAGCTCCTATCTTACTGCTGCAGACGCGAACCTGGGCACACTCAATGGGGCCCTGCAAGGCCACCTGGGACCAGAGTGGGTCCCTGTAGAGTGTGGAGATGCACCTAGGGATAGGGGGTACATCACTTGCACCTGCTGCCCTGCAACCAACCCCACTCAAAGGGGCCCTTAGGACTCAGCTTCTTCCTGCCCCTCCTTACCCCCATGACCCCAGCCCCTCAGGGACTCCTTTAGATCACCAGGTCACACCCCCGCCCTTTGTGGGGGTCTTCTTTACCCTGTGCCCTGCCCCCATTCGCTTACCAGGTGGATCCAGAGACCCCACTCAGGTAGGTCACAGTGTCTAGGAGGCCGAGCTCCTGCAACCCTGCCAGGCTGCCATACAGAGAAGACATGGCTCGGGTTCCACCCCCGGAACCCAACACAGCCACTACAGGCACCTGGGTACAATAATAACAATGATAATGACTCCTGCTAGCACTGTCTGTTACATGTTATTGCCTATACATGTCAGACATTATTCTAAGAGCCTTACATGTATTATCTCATTGAATCCTCACAGCAATCCATATTCCATTTTCCAGATGAGGAAACCGAGGCATGAAAAGGTTAAGTAATGTGCCCAAGATCATACAGCTATTAAGTGATGAGCTCTCAAACCTAAGCAGTATGGCTCCAGGGATAGCCCTTAAGCATTCTACCTGGAAGATATAGGCTGGGAAGGTACATTTGCTTCCCCCAAAAACAGCTAAAGCAGGTTCCTCTCAACTGTGGCACTCTTGATATTCTTGACCAGGTAGCTCTTTGCTGTGGGGACTGTCCTGTGTGTTGTAGGATGTTTAGCAGCATTTCTGGCCGCCTCTATCCAGTAGAAGCCAGTAGCCTCCCTCCACCTCTCCTCTCCCAGCAGCAACAGTGAAATAGATCTCTACGCATGGACAAATGTCCCCAGGGGGAAGGAAATAAATTGCTCCCCATTGAGCTTCACTGAGCTAAACTGACAAAGGCCAGCAAGCAGCCTGGATCTGCCCCCAGACACCAAAGCTGCCCAGAGGCTTTAAGGTCTCCTCAGGATCGGAGGTGCCTGGGGGGTCAGAGTCAAAGCTTTTGCCTGCTCAGCTTTTCCACAAAGATTTGGCTCATTACACCCTGGATTTTTGGCCCTTTTCTCTGTTCTCTTTTCTTCTCCTGTCTTGAAAAAAATGCTCCCTGGCCACTGCTCACTGAAGGAGCTGTCGCTTCAGAGTGCTGGATGAGGCAGAGCAGATACCTGGCACGAAGTGGGCATATGTATTGACCGAATGAACGATCTAGGCTCATCAGGGCTGGGCCACAGTGACAGTGTCTCCTGAGGACACAGGCAGCCAGGAGGAAGACAGCAGCCTATTCCTGATCCCACGTAAGTCCCTCTCTCAGCACCCCTTTCTTCCTGCCTCCCAGACACAGGCTGGCTGTCGCTATACCCAGAGGATCCCAGGGACCCCCCCACCTCCACATCCCTTTTACCACATTACAGAACCAACTGTGTCCCCCTCCAAATTCCTTTGTTGAAGCCCTAACCTCCAATGTGACAGTATTTGGATATAGGGCCTACAAGGAGGTAATAAAGGTGAAGTGGGCCGGGCGCGGTGGCTCACTCTTTGAATCCCAGCACTTTGGGAGGCCGAGGCAGGCCGATCACAAGTTCAGGAGTTTGAGACCAGTCTGACCAACATGATGAAACCCCGTCTTTACTAAAAATACAAAAATTAGCTGGGCATGGTGGCACATGCCTGTAATCCCAGCTACACAGGAGGCTGAGGCAGAAGAATCACTTGAACCCCAGAGGTAGAGGGGGCAGTGAGCCGACATCATGCCAGTGCACTCTAGCCTGAGCAACAGTGCCAGACTTTATCCCAAAAAAAAAAAAAAAAAGCAAAGTGAGTCCTGGGGTCCTTAGAAGAGGAGGAGGAGCCACCAAGGGACACACTCTGCACACATGCACAGAGGAACAGCCATGTGAGAACATGGCCAGATGGCCCCACCAGGAAGAGGAGAGGGGCCCCAGCAGAAACCAGCCCTGATAATGGCACCTGCATCTCGGACTTCCAGCCTCCAAAACTGAGGGAAAAGTCATTTTTGTCATTTAAGCTACCTGGTCCATGGGGTTTGGTTACAGCAGCCCACACAGACCAAGACATCCAACCCTGGCAGGGCTGATTGGCCCTAGTCCCATATGGGGTCCTGGCTCTGCGGATGGTGCCCATCAGCTCAAGTGAACAGGCCAACCTCCTTTGCACACAACCTTCCTCTGGGCTTCCTGTCCCCTCTTAGCCATGATGGTCCTCTCAAGGGAAGAGGCTCAATTTGCTTCTAGTGACTCTGCGGTCCAGCTCCTCCTCCATTCCATACCTGGCCACTGTCCGGAGCCTCACTCAATCGCAGCACCTGCTGCAGGGCCTTGGACACAACCTGCTTCCTCCTGTCCAGAAACTCCTGCTCCCCATCACAGAGGTCAAAGCCAAGGCGTAGGTCCAGGTCCGCGGAGCTGCATCAAGTGGGGCAGGGGCGGGGTTCTGGGTTCCAGTGGACAAAAGCCTTGGGCCCAGCCCAGGTCTTTCACACAGCAGCAGCTCCAAGGGGGAAGGAAAGGTGTCATCCCCACCCCACAGCCTGAGCTTTGTGGGCAAGAGAGTGGAGCACTTTGGGGTATGTCCCCGCACTTCCAGCCCAACCCTGAGAGGCCTTGTGCCTGAAGTCCCACTCACCTCATTTCCACCTTCACACTCAGAGCCACTTCCTGACCCTGAAAGACACAGGGGCCCCAACCCTGAGCTCTCTGAGCAGGAATCTCCCAGGGAAATGGCTCCCCTACCTGTAGCCCCCACAGCCCTGCTATCTCTGGCCTGACGTAAATATTGTGACTGAGCTCTGGGCTGGCCTCATCCAGTCACCCTCTTGGCTCCCTCATCCAGACCTCTCTTGGTGGTCACAGAGAGCAGACAGGGGTCCCTCTGGCACCCAGACAGAGCCTTACCTCCCCCAGGGCCACAGAACGCTGTTCCTCCCAGCCTAGGGGCAGAGAGGAGAGCAGGATGCCTCCCTCGCCCAGCTTGCTGGTCTGAGTCTCCAGCTCCATGCTGGGGCCACTCTGTGGAGAAGAAAACACCCAAGGAGCTCTCCAGCGGGGAAGAGAAGGCGCCTTCAATATGGCCTTGGAGCTACGGTCCTGCCCTTTGCCAGGCGCACTCACCTGCACAGCCGAGAGCTGCTCCGTCAGCTCCACGTGCAGCCTGGAGCTCAGCACTGGGTTCGCATGGAAGGTGAAGGTGGGTGGGAGGCCTGGCTCTGCAGGAGGCTGCAGAGGCAAGAGCTGTGGCTTCTCATAGGCCCCAGGCACTGCCAGCTGGAGCTGCCTAGAGCCTGAGAGCAGAGGGCCCAGGTGAGCGCACAGGTGAGGGGTGGGTCTGTATCTGTGCAGCTCATGCTGGCGGTACCCCTTCCCTTCCCCTAGGAAATGCCAACACCTATCGCCCTGCCTTCTCGAGCACTCTGCTCAAAGAGAAAGTGTCTAGGAGGACTCTTGGGTCCTCTAGCCTGTCCTGGTCAGAATTGGGACTTGGAGAAGGATGGGAAGCACACAAAGGCCTGGAGGGGAAGGCAGGGAGCGGGGAGGAAGAAGGGCTCTGCCCATAGCCTGTGGGGCTGACAATCTTGAGATGATTCTATGTTTATTATAAGAATAAGCAGCTTTCAGGCAGTGGTTTCCTCTTCTCTTGCCACACTTCAGGCTCTTTGCTCATTGGGCTGGGGGAGATTTGTGGTCCGAGAGAAAACCAACGGGCTGCACGTTGTTCTGGCCTTTGTTTCCAAAAGTGTCAGACGTTGGGAGAGGAAGAAGGTTTGCAGAGGTGGGAAAAGGAAGAACGGGATGCGTGGGTACAGAGAGATGCACGTCCTGGAGAAGCAGCGGAGGCCGGCCCAGGCTAGAAGACGATGCCCAGGCTGGGAGGCGATGCACAGGCTGGGAGGCACGAGAGGGTGGGTTTGTGGGTTCCAGAGCTCCCTGCCCAGCTTCTCAGCAGCTTCCCGGGGAGGAGGCCACACCCCAGAGAGAAATGGCTGCACAGGACATCCAGGCAGAGGGGGCCATAGACAGCCTCCCAGGAGTCCCAGCCCCTAACACAACATGGGAGCGACAAAGCCCCAAAGGATTCAAGGACAGCGGACACTGAGGGGTCAGAGGTCTGGAGGGGTCCCTGCCTTACAGCCCTCTTTGCACTAGATGAGGCCCGGAGACTCGACATGACCCAAGCGTGGGAGGGAATTCAAGAACATAAGGAAAGTGATATTTTATTCATGCCAAGGCCTACGGACTGAGATGGAGATGTGCTATTCATAAGAAGAAACCATCTAATCCATGGTTGAGAGAACCGGCGTGTCACAGACCTACTACTTATTGGCTGTGTGCCCGTAAGCAAGTGTCTTCTTTGGGCCTCAGTCTCATGAATTAGAGGACAATGATTGTGCCTGCTTTACAGGGTTGTTAGGAGGATTATGAGATAAGACGCATTGAAATGCTTAGCCCAGGGCCTGCTTCAGAGTGAGTGCTCCGTCTTCCCTGGGCGGGACTCATCCTGCAGGCTCAGCCTGTCAGCACTGGAAGGGGCCTTTGCTGTCACACAGCCACCACTGCAATCTCACATTCCAACTCCCCGGCCTGGGTGGCTGCCCTCTGTGGCACTGGGTTTGACAACCTCTATTCTTCATTTCCCCTGTATTCTCACTCTGCCGTGTGACTTCAGCTCCTCCCACTAAAGAGGCCAACTATAGGCCAGGCGTGGTGGCTCACGCCTGTAATCCCAGCTCTTTGGGAGGCCGAGGCAGGCGGATCATGAGGTGGGGAGTTCGAGATCAGCCTGACCAACATGGTAAAACCCCGTCTCTACTAAAAATACAAAGATTAGCCAGATGTGGTATCGCGTGCCTGTAATCCCAGCTACTCAGGACGCTGAGGTAGGAGAATCTCAAAAAAAAAAAAAAAAAAAGAGGCCAGCTATGTTCCCTGCCCTCCAGCTTTGAGTGTAACCCTGTTTTGGCCAATAACATGTTAGGCAGTGGCCAGGATGTGACCAGGCTCGACAAGCACTTGCTCAGTTGGGCTTGCTCTCTTGGGCCTCTGTGGGTGCCTTGAGAACATGCCTAGGCTAATGGGCTTGTCATAGGAGGCAGAGGAGGGACACCTGGCGCAGGGCGGGCCCCCCCCCACCCCCGCTGACCACCAGGTGTGTGAGCCGAATAAATGCTGCTTGTATGCCACTAAGATCATGTGGGTGTTCCTTGTACAGCAATAGTTGGGCAGCTACAACCTCTTTGCTCAAACGCTTCCAAGGGCAGGTCATTCACTGCCTCCAGGGGCAATCCATCCCATGGTTTGGCTTTGAGCAGCGAAAACTTTAAGAACTTCCTGCCCCGGACCCACCTCCTTGACATCAGTAGTCCCAACCCCAGGAGAGAAGGCGAGACCCGAGGCCGCTGAGCAGACTCACCGAACTCTTGACATGGGGCTGTCCCATCTCGCTGGAGCGTGCCCTGGATTCTCAGACAGGGGTGAGCCTGAGGAAAGCAGAGCTCTGTGGGAGCCAGACAGCCCATGGGCCGTAGCCAGGATGGATGGAGGGAGGAGGGCTTGGGCCGGGGTCTCGGAAACAGCCCTCCCAGGACCTAGGCCTCAAGGGTAGGAGTCTTCTACAGCAGCTCAAGGTCATACCCAGCCCCTCTCCCCAGACTCAGAGGAAGTGGGCACTGGTGGGAAAGGGGGAGGAGGTGAGGAGCCGTGAGAGTGGCTGCTCCGGTGGTCTCAGCAGCCGGACGCCCAAGTGAGTAATCTGCCACGTGCGAGGTGGGAGGCTGGAGTTCTGGGCTGTCCACCAAGTGCCTGGGAGCTTCTTGTCCTTCCCCTCTGGAGGTGCTTTCCTAGCATGTCTCCCCTCTGAGAAGGGCTTCAGAGGCAAGTGGGCCTGATGGGCTCCTACAGGGGCTACTCACTGCCCCCCAGCCCGGGATAGCACCAAGCTCGCCTTCCCCACTCACCACCAGAACCCCATTGGTGATGACTTCAGACGCAGGTACCTGGCTGCAAAGGATGAGAAATATGTGGGACATCTTGGCCCCATCGTGATGGCTGCTACAATCATGTGACTGAAGCAACAGGCAGAGTCTGGGAAGCATGGCAGCATTTGGGGTGGGGTGAGGCTGTCATCCAACATGCAGTGGGTGTCAAGACCAGGCTGCCTCCTCCAGGCCAGGCCTGCAAGGCCAGTACAGGACATGGTGACTGGCCCCTAGGAGCTGCCGCAACTCAAATCTTGGAGTCTCTGAGGAAGTGGGCTCTGCCAGAACTCACCTCTTCTCCAAAAGGAATGCCACCTGCAGCTCTTGTAAATCCTACATGGAGCGGGAGGGAGCACCAATTGTTTAAAGGCTCCAAAAGCCCCCACAGCTGTTCTTGCCTGCCAGCCCTGCTCGGCTCCAGGGACCAGAAGGGGAAACTGACATTTTGGCTTGTCATGGACACAGAAGGGGCAGCGGTATCTCTATGGAAAGCCTCATTCGTTCCAAAATATGTGTCAGGTGCTGTTCTAGACACTGAGGATTCAGCTGTGAGTGAGACAGGCCACACACTGCCCGGAAGGAGCTCGTGTTTTTGTTCTATGCAAGGAGGATGTGTGAAAGCTTTATTGGGTTGGGGCTGTGGGATGGAGGAAGGTCTGTCTTGGAGGCTTGGCCTGTGCTGGCTGGAGCCCCCTCTTCAGTAGCCTGTGCTGGGCCTCCGCTCCTCCAGCTGGGCTCTCCGCCAGCACTGGTGGGCTCACCTCGTGGTCAAGTGGGAAGGTGTGTCTGTGGGGTTGACCACATTTGAGGCTCCTCAGGTCAAACACGAGCTGGGAGAGCCGGTCACTGCCCACGATGTCCTTGTCATAGAGGGTGAGCTCCAGGACGTTCTGGGGACAGGGCAGGCAGGAGGTCGGAGCCTGCGGCAGGACAGGAGGGCAGCCACCTGAGGAGTCCCCTCCTTCCACAGCCTGGCCCCTGGCCCTCACCTTCACAGCGCCATGGATCTGGTAGTGGAAGGTCTCATTCCACTCGGGGTCACTGCAGTTGGCCACTATCCTAGTCTGGGCAGGACTGGGGGATGCCGTGGGCAACCACAGTTGCACGTAGCAGTCGGCTTTGGACACTGCAGGTAGGACAGGGGAAGGGTTTTGCTGGGGGAGGCTGGGGCAGAAGGGAAAGGAGCTGAGTGGGGAAGGGAAGCTGCCCAAGTGGCATGGAGGGGTGAGAAGAGGGAAGGAAAGCTTTGATGTCTTTCGTTCCATCTTGATTCCATACACCTCCCATTCACCTGAACGGAAGTCCTGCAGCAGCCAGTTGGAAAGATCCCTTGGCAGCACAGGCCATTCATTCCACATACTGCCTGACTCAGGCAGTCAAATCCCCTCCCAGTGCGGGCACCGGCATGGAAAGCTCCCTGAGAGCACACACTGACTTGGAGCCACAGCAGGCCTCACACTCTCACCCAGGGGGGACTCACAGGCGTGGGGAAGAGGCCAAGTGGGCACAGCTCTCCCCTCCAGCCCTGCCTGCCGTCACCTCCGTGGTCAGCACAGTCCCTCCACCTACTCCACACACACTCTTGCACTCACACAAGCACACATGTATACACACACACTCTCATACTGGGACTCACACACATGTATACACACATTCATACATTCACACACACACACACTGGCACTCATGTATACATGCCCTCACACTCTTGCACGCATATACACACAACACGCACACACACGTGTATACACTCATTCACACCCACTCACGTTCACACACTCCCACTCACATATACACTTGCACTTGCACTCACTCGTACATGTGTATACACACTGACACACTTGCATCACACTCACATTTGCACTCATACGCGCAAACACTTGCACACATGTATACACACATTTGTGCTCCCACACTCGTACTCACTTATACATCTCACACATGTATACATCTCACACATGTATACACATGCACTCACACTTGAACACACTCACACATACTTGCACTTACACGTACACACATGGATACACACACGTATACTCACATACATGTATACACATACGCACACGCATATACATACATGCACTCTCACTTATCACACACGTACACACACACACACTCTTTGCTGGCCTGAGCCGAGCTCTGAGGAGGCCACAGGGAAAGGACAGGGAGAAGGCTGGTGACGGTCACTCACGCAGGTCTGTGCCCCGGATGTTTGTGGCCCTCAGCACCTTCACCTGGAGGTCATAGTATGGGTGGGTTTCCCACTGCAACAACAGAACTCCGGGGACTCAGTTGCTGGTGTGAGCCTGGTCCCTCACCCGATTGTTCCCCTCAGCCCATCATAGAGCAGCAGCCTGGCACGGGGTCACTGATGTCTCTGTGCCGCAGAGCAGGGAGACCTTGGCAATGCCCAGGCACTGGGAGTTCAGCACCTTGGTGACATGTCTGGATCCTGGAACCCATCAGGGCTGAGTTCAAATCTACATCCAGCATGGACTCACTCAACTAATGGCGGCTGTCACGCACCACACACCTGCGGCTCCCCGCAGACCCCCCGTGCCACCACTTGAGCTTGGGAGCGGCTAGGATTGCTGCACTAATGTGCTTGAGGAGCAATTTTAAATCAATATTAAATTTAAAATCAATATTAAGAGAGAAAATGGTGACACCCTCTCCCTCAATTTCTCCCTGACACGGGTCCAAAGACCACCTAGGAGGCAGCGAGCAGGTAGGTGAGTGAATGCCAAGAGTCACCAGCCCTGCCTGTACCGGTCTGATGAGTCACTGAGGAGATTGTAGCTGAGCTCAGGAGAGATAACATCAGCATGCCACCTGCTGGGAGGGAAGCCTTCCCCTCACAACCCGGCCAGTCCAGGGTGGGGGTGGGAGGGGTGGCGTCGGCGGGGGGGGCCCTCTACAGTCTCAAGCTTCCTTGGCAAAAGCTAACCCACCAGAGACAAGTGTCAAGTGAACTAGCCCTTCATTTCCTAATTGGAGGGAGCTATTTTCCTTTTTTTTTTTT